GTTCTGAGTGTCCACCTAGTGAAATCCAAAGACCTCGGTTCTGACTCTTGCAGGTCTCAGAAGTCTCTGTCTGTCGATCTGTGCGTGGAAACATGACTTATCTGTCACTCACAGAAGTAAGCAGTGCACTTTTTAATTCACATTTTTTTAGAGCAGTTTAAGAGAATTAAAACTAGTCTCTGACAGTTAGGTGTTGATTGCCCCCTGCTGGAACTTAACAGAATTTAAGGGTCATTTCTATTTTTCTAAGGTTTATTTAGCTTTTATTCAGAGACAGGAAGTGGATAGAGTTGGAAATCAGGGGGAGAGAGAGAGCGAGAGAGAGAGAGGAGAGGACTGTAGCCTCTGTACATGGGGCACGCGCACTAACCACAAGGCTACCGACGCCTTGTATACTTTTATTTCATAGCACTTCACACGCCTCAATGTCACAACAACACTGACACCAAATAAAACTTATTTCAATATTTTAAAAAAATAATAATTATATATAAGGTCATCTTTGATCTTTACACCCCCCCCCCTCTCTCTCACTCGTCCTGATGATGTGATTGCTTTCAGTGTTGTGTGTTTTTGTTTTGCCTAATAAATCACCATCTATCAGAGCCCTGGCTGACACACACACACACACACACACACACACACACACACACACACACACACACACACACACACACACGCTGTGGTGAACAGTTCATAATGGAGCGTTCATTTGTCATCCTCTGAGCTGTTGACAAGGAAAGTGTCCTGGATATGGGCAGTGTGTGTGTGTGTGTGTGTGTGTGTGTGTGTGTGTGTGTGTGTGTGTGTACTGACAATGAAGATTCATCCCCATTCATCTGACTGATAACACACTAGTGCTGTCAGCTGGAGACTAGCCTGAATATAGCAAACATTCACACACACACACACACACACACACACATACGCGTACTTCCTCCTCTGTGTGTGTGGGCACAGACACACACAGTAAACACATTATATATTCGCCATTGCACTTACACGTATTGCTTACTCACGCCGACTATCACCAAATATATGTTTTTTTATTAATAAAGATATGAAGTCAAACGATCATTTCAAAGTTTTTTTTCTCGTTAATCATTTAAAGAGGAAATACATGAAGTTCCTCTGCACTTTTTTCCCCTCTCGTGTGTGTCCGTGGTTTCTCCTCTCTCTGACGGCGGACGACGCCCCGTGAATCATTAACAGCAGAGTGATTATGCACTATCAAACTTGGAATATTACCCCACTTAGCTAATGTTTAATGCTCTAATTAATTCTGAACCCTGCGAGCCAACATCAATTTATTTGATTAGTACTTTACAAAGTCACTCTAAGGTTTTTGACTGGTTTGAGGTGTGTGTGTGTGTGTGTGTGTGTGTGTGTGTGTGTGTGTGTGTGTGGCTTTAACTTTGTCCACATTAATTAAACTGTGATCAGAGAGTGAGAAGCTGATTAATGGGATTCAACGCTTCAGTTTTTCCATCTTTTGTTCGTTTCTTGTTTTTTCTCAGGATTTTGTTGTTTCTTTCAAAATAAAAGACGAAAGATAGTTTTGGTTTTTAAGTCTCCACTGAGTTGTTGCATTGATCACATTCAGGTGATTACCACCACTGCTGGTCTGGTCCAACCAAGCAGCAACCTCCGGTCTTGAAAAATGAAGCTGATGCTGAAGTGTAAAATCCTGCAGGTCCTCTAGTGTCCACTAGAGGCTGGCTGCAGAAGCAGAGGAAGTCACATACACACCCATTCTAAAAAGCCTGTTTTTACAGTAGAAATTAACATTTTACAGTTTACAGCCTGGTTCAAAAAAACAAATAGATCTGATTAGCTCATGTCTCGATCAGCACACACTGTACGGGGGTGAATGTTTTGATGACTCATCTGTTTTGATTTTATGAAGAATAAGAGTTATTCACAATAAGACGTGTAGCTGACATGATTGACAGGCGGGAGCGGTGTAACGGTTTATCAGGAGGCTCAAAACCCGTCTCAGCTCCAGCTCTCAGCCTGTCGTTAGGTTGACTGAAAGTTAGGCTGAAACAGCATTTCCAGCATGGAGACCGCCATCGATGGGACTCCAGCGCCCCCTGCAGGAACAGACGGGTGACGTCACTCAGGCTTCAAACATTCATATTTACTTTCTATATGGGTCCATCTCTAACTTCTTAGAAACTGTTGAACATTTGAAGCAACTCCTACTCAACCTCACCCGACCGACCACTTATTTACCGACGTTCACTAAAAGTAGAAGACGTCTGGAATGTTTCAGCTTCATCATTGGTCTTACACTTTGCATGAATCTGTTGTTTATTTCAAAGACGCAAAGTTTAAAACGTATCTATCCTTCCACCATTTTCAGAACATCTGCTTTTCTGACTCGACGTCCTCTCCTCTCTGTATCCTGTATTGTTGTCTCTCTCTCACGTTTCTAACGTCCTTAAAAGACAAAAGATTCTGGGAAAAGAAACAAAATCATTATAATGTTATTAAACGAGTTGGCTAACCTCTGTGCAAAGTCTCGAAGGATATCATGATGTATGAAGGGACAAGGCTGCCAACGTTTCTGGCTGATTAAAACTCTCAGGTTGCCATACATCTTCGACTCCAGGACCAAACTGTGTGTTCGATCAGAGTGAGGGTAAACATAGCTAACAAGTGGAACATGCATGGTTAGTTTCTCCCTGATTGGACGTTACTCTTTGGACTGGTACATATCAGTCCCTAGTAGTGAGTTCTGTCCCGGTCTGCTGTTTGATCATTTTCTCATTTGATCAAGTGTAGCTGCAGAGACTGTCTGAATGTCTAACTCCATCTCTGTGTAATTAGCTCCAGCAGTGACTTTATGTAAAATAGTTGTGCCAAGTTTTAATTGATTAAAAAGTCGGCGTGTTATTTCGAGGAAGAACAATGTAGATCCAATTAGCACTGTAACGTGTAAACATGAACACTAACTCCCATGGTGCACCGGGGTGTGTGTGTGTGTGTGTGTGTGTGTGTGTGTGTGTGTGTGTGTGTGTGTGTGTGTGTGTGTGTGTGTTGTTCAGTGATCAGTCTCATTTCTTAATCATCACTTTCTGCTCCAGATGAGACTTTATGAGGGGACTAAATTGCCTTAAAGGGATTTCTTATTAAAGGGATTACACCCATGTAATCCCCTTAGTCCCAGTGGACCCCCAAAAACCTGACACACACACACACACACACACACACACACACACACACTCATACAGTACATAACCAGATTAGCGTGGAGAAATAAATGTGCTCAATGTTTTTGAAGCGCTACAAATGAAAACACTTGTTAAACTGCGGCGCACAAACATCACACGCTCCCGTTGATAATTGCTCGTGTGCGTTTGTTCATTACACTAAAACTAAAAGTGTTTGTGTGTATTTGTAACCTTGACTTGAATCTGCGCTTTGTGTGTGTGTGTGTTCAGTGTGTGCATCGCTTTAGTTTCCCTCGTCTCATCCCCAATTAACAGAGACAAATCCGCCTCTATCTCCGCTAATGAGAGTGTTTAAGGTGAAGGGACTCTGTATTTATTTAATAAGAAGAAGCTTATTTATTCCATTTCCATAAGAAAGAAAAGCCAGCGCCGATTCACAGGGGGACGGATTAGAAGAGGAGGAGGAGGAGGGAGGAAAGGATGAAGAAGGGAGAAGAAACATAAGGGAAGAGGGTCGAGAAAGTCTGGAAAGGATGAGCAGGAAAAGGAGGAGAAAGAAGAAATAGGGGGTCAGACAATAACAGGGAACGGAAAGAAAAACAAGAAGTTAAGGTAGACAGGAAAGAGGAGAGAGACAACCTCAGGGACAGATTATAAAGAAGATGAAGAGAGAGAGAGAAAGCTGTAGAACAGGAAGAGGAAGAGGACATAGATAAGAGGCTGGTTTGTGATGTATTATGGGAGGTGGTGAGGGCAAAGGTCAAAGTGCGTCCACTAAAAGTCGTGGTCACCGACAGGCTCAGGTTGTTATTTTAAGTGTGTGACAAACATTATAGAAAAGATCCCTGCAGAGATGACCTTTTTGTAATAGAGGATGTTACATCTCTGATTTAAAGTCTCCAAACTACATTGACAAAAACAATAACCAATTCACCTTGCAGAACACAGGAGTTTCTCGTCTCACGCTGCCTCAGTTGATGAGTTCATTTGAACTGTACTGTATGTTTTACAAAAACTTTGTCGTACCCAACCCTTTCCATTTTAAACACCGATGTATTGTTACTCAAAAAACATAGTGGTCAAGCAGTGGCAGACCTGTAATTCCTGTGTTCTGAGTTAAAATGACGGTTTTTATCAATGGAGTTTGGTGGTGTTCAAGAGAGGAATGTTTCAGCTATTTCTGGTTTTTCTTTAAATAAAAAATGTCTTTAAAAAAGAAGGTGGGTCTCCGAGTCTGTGGGGATCCTTTCTGTTATGTTGTCACAGACTAAAGCCCCTTTTCAACCAAAGGTCCCCCGGAACTTTTGGTTCTTCTTCGGGGAACTAAACGGTTCCTTTGGCCCATAGATGTCAGCATCCACAGCTGCCTGAAGTCCCAGTGGGTGATTTAAAACCCTGGGAGTGCCTGACTAATCGAGACGTTTAACTCTACAGGGACTGCAGGCCATGAGCCCCAAGGTTCCTGGATCTGTAGAAAGTACGACCCCCTTAAAGCAGGGTCTTTTTTTAGGGGTAGATCTTTTACCCCAGAACTAAATTTAGATCCTGGTTCCGGCTGTCGAAATACAGATAGTTCCTCAAACGGTCCATAGTTCCTGGGGAAACTAACTGCGGTTGAAAAGCCTGTCTGGGACAAAAAAAACATCTTTTAGTTAACTAATTTGAGCGGAAATGTTTCCAATATGGTTTTGATTGCAACCATTCCAGACTGTTTCCTGTCTGATCATGAAGCAGTGTGCAGCCAGGAAACAGGAAGGAGGAAGATGTAGAGGAAGGAAAAAGAAGTCGGTATGTCTCACTGTGTCTCTGTCTGTGTTCCCTCAGGTGGAGCTGACTGGCAGCAGCGTCTTCGACTACATCCACCCGGGCGATCACGTGGAGATGGCTGAGCAGCTCGGCATGAAGCTTCCTCCAGGACGAGGGATGTCTATGTCCCAAGGAGCCGTCAACGAAGACGGGGCATCCTCGGCTTCGTCGTCGTCGCACTCTGAGACCCCCGAACCAGGTAGGAAACGAGGGTATGGAGCCGAGGATGGGGGGAAGTTTTCTAGATCTGTTTTTCTCCACAGGTCATGAAAACACTGATGAGCCCAAAAAAAGGTAGAAGACATGAAAGAACAAACTAAAGTGGGGCTTTCTCATGTTAGATAGATTTAAAGCTGGTGGAAAGTATTTTCCCCTGTTTTTGTTTGGGTAGCCTTTTTCCGTTTTTACTTTATGCTACGCTAACTATCTGAAAACTTAAGTTTAACATTTATAACACTGGTTGAAGGAACACATTTTGTTACTTTCTCTCTTTTTGGCTCACTATTTACCTCTGTTTCCAAACTTTAAGCTAAGCTAAGCTAACTTGTTGCAGTCTGTTATTTCAAATTTAATATTTATCTATTTAATTTATTGCACAGATGAGAGTTTTCTGGTTGGGTTTTCTTTCCAAAAGGTTTTCCCCTTGTATTGTTTATGCTAAGCTAGGCTAACTGGCTGCAGTCTGTAATTTCAAATTCACTGCAGCGATAGGAGGAGGTGGTAAAAGTTATTTTTAAATTGTGGCTAGCTATTTCCCTGATTCCGGCCTTTATGCTAAGCTAACTGAATGATGGCTGTAGTTTTAAATTTAATGCATTGATGGGAGATTATGATTGGCATTTTTGTATTGACTATGTGTTGGATTTTTCCCCTTGTTTCAATTTCTTATGCTAAGCTAAGCTAACAAGCCTGCACGCTATAGTTTAACATCTATCAAAGCACTGAAGAGGAAAGTTGGTTGGAGATTTTTCTTGTTCTTTTGTTCATTCTTTAAGCTAATCCAAACTAGCTGACTGCTGGATGTAGTTGTATTGTTTGGCTATATGTCGTTTATTGTTTTCAGTCTTAATGCTAAGCTAGGCTAACTTGCTTCAAGCTGTAGTTTAATATTTATTGCACTGACGGGTAGGAGTTGGTTGGAGATTTTTTTCTTTTGGCTAGCCATTTCCCATATTTTCAAGTCATAATGATAAGCTAATTGGCTGCCAGATATGCTAGGAGACCTGGTTTGAGTTTTTTTTAAGCTAACTGTGTTCCTCTTTCTGCCAGGTTAACTGGCTGCGGTTTTAAATTTATTTAAATTAAATTAGAGTTTGTTGGTGGTTTCTGTTTTTGGCTTGCTATTTCGCTGTTCCCAGGCTTTATGCTAAGCTAACTAGCTGTAGTTTTTGCACTGATGGAAGGGGATAGCTGAAGGTGGTTCTTCTTTTTGTGGCTAGCTGTCTTTATGCTAAGCTCAGCTAACTGACTTTTGACTGAAGTTTCATACAAAGTGAAGAAATGATGTTATTTGTTTTAATTTAACCCTTTGTGGTTCTTGAGATAACTTTGAATATCCACATTCAATTTCTCCAACATCCTGAACTGTCTGACCTTGATGCCCTTTTCCTTCACTTCACTTGTTCCCCAATATCCCAGCATTCCCTGCAGGAAACTTGAATACAATTAGTGCGCCACATTGTAAAGCCATCACAGCTGTAAACTTGAAAAGGACACATTCCTCATTGGGATTCTTCGCATTGCCTCTTTCTATCCCTCCATCTTTTTTATCGCTCCATCCTCTCCTGCACCACATGTTCCACACTTTTTACCTTGCATGCGGTTTCCATTGCGTCTCTCCCACTCCTCCTCTCTCTCTTATGCTGATGATAATTTAAGTATTAGGGGGAAATCCATTTATAAATTAAACAAAATGACTTGATATCCATCGAGTCCCTTAGTTCATCAGCCTGTTCAAACAAGGAGGGGAAGATTGGCTTCGCGGTGGCTGGGGTCTTCGGAGACGGCGCGGTAATTAGATCTGCCGCGGATTTATTCTTGGCTGATTGGTGCTGGTGATGGGTGAGGGGAGGGTTTGTGGGGGGGGGGGCTTTAAATTAATTGGAGTTCCACATTTCATGTTTTTGTTCCTTTTTTTTTATCTTTGACTTTCTATGAAACCTCTAACCGAGCCGCCCCATGCACCAAACGATGAGAGGACATATATGTGGTCGTCAAAGTCAATTTGTCTGGAGAGAAAGAAAAGAACTGAAAACACAGATGGGTGTTTCCCAATGCTAATTTACCCCAAAGATACAGAGATATGAAGACGTCGAGGAAGAATAAGGCGCGATTGGGGTTTGAGTGAACGTCTCAGTGATTCCCAAAGTTAATTTGACCAGAGAGAGAGGGAGAGAGAGAGAGAGAGAGTCAAAGAGCGGAGGAGGGGAGGAGGACAAAGGTGTTTGTTCTCCCTTGTTAATTCGTCTGTGGAGAAAGATGGAAGGAAAAGAAAGACAGAGAGGCAGGGGATGTAGGGACATGTTTGAATGTGCATGAGTGCTTAGCAATGTTAATTTGTCCAAAGAAAGAGACGAGAGACAGCGCAGCGAGGCAGAAGGGAGGGAGAGGATTCAGACGGACATGAATGAATGTGAAGGAGTGATCCCCGATGATAATGTGACCAGAGACAAAAGGAAGAGGAGGATTAGGATTCATGTATGTGTTCTTTAATGTTAATTTGTCTGGAGGAAAAGAAGAGACGAGGAGGAGGAGGAGGAGGCGGTGGAGGGCTGGTATGAATTTGTATGAATGTTTCCCAGGAGGAGGCGGGGCTTATGTCAGGTGTCCGATGTGAGCTGACTGTCTGTCCGTCCTTGAGGTTGTTCTGTGATGGACGTTTGACTCTGTGCATGGAGATACTAAAGAACCCTCTTTGTCACTTGTTGTTGCTCTCTAAAGTCATATGTTAAAATAAATGGCGTCGGCGTGTTGTTTTCGAGGTTATCTATCTTTTTTTTTTTTTTTTTTACCGGTATTTTTTGTTTGCTTTTTGCGTTTTCTTTCCCTTATTTTCCATCATGTTACCTTCTTAATGTCACATCCTAACTTACTTTTTGTCTTTTTCTGTCTTATAGCACACTACAAACTTTTCTATTTTTCTACCTCGTCTCCTCCTTTCCTTCCCTCTTCCATCTTTTGTTTTATGTCACTTCTTCCCTCTTTGTTCCTCCCTCGAGTTAAAACTTGAACACACACCTGTTCAGACTGTGTTTGAGTACAGACACACACACAGACACACTTCCTGTCTGTCCACAAATTAAAAGTTGAGTCCTGGACCTTGAGAAGTTCCCGTGTTATCGGCGTCTGTGTGACAGGCAGATAGCACAGAGGAGCGCTTTATTTGTGGTCCGGCGTCGCCCTGTCCTCTGCAGCTGTTATCTGAGCAGCTCCGGCTCCCATTGTAAACAGCCCGTCCTCGTTAAGGAGCCTAATTAGAAAAACTCTAATAAGAAAAGCCTCTGATTGGCTATTATGTACTCTAAAGATTCCATTTAGAGCGGCGGTAGCGAAGGAGCGGGCGGACGTTTAATAAACCCAAACGGATCATTTTGCTTTAGTAATGATCCTCGGCCTCTGAAAAGTTCTTTGTTTGCCTCAAGTGGGTTTATTGCTTTTCTCTAAAACACACTCATGACTCTGATTTAATTAATTTGAGCTCTTTTGCTGAATCTTTTGTGACTAATTCTCTCGGAGTTCAGAGTATCGTGTGTGTGAGTGGAAATCATTCAGCAGGTCGTACAAAAACCCTGAAAATACTCACTTTAGTTGAGGCTCGTGTGTTTTTTCTTCTCGCTAGAAGACGAAGGAGGCTTTGTTAAAAACTACAGTTATGTTTGTGTGGAAGCTGCAACTTCTCATATAATCAAATGTAAACAGAATTATGGTGATCAGTCCCTCACCTAAAACAATAAGTTGTTGAAAAAAGGAGCAGGAGCAGTATGTAACTCTGACACCTAGTGGTTAAAATGGGTACTGCACTCTAAATTCTAAACATTCTCTAGAGTGGATGCTCACACAGGTTGCCATGTGGTGGACACTGAAGCTTCAGTGTTTATCCAGCTCTGCATCGGTCTGTAAACCTTTCTGTGTTCTAACCTCTCTCCATTTTTCAAAAGCATCTCCAATATTGATCCTAGTTTGAGCACGTTTCTGCTCGTGGAGCTTATTAGAAACATGCAGAGGCTTTTTAGGTCGGGTACAATCACTTCTATCTGAACCACTTCTCTTGCCCGCTTCCATCACTGCAACACCTGTTGACCTGATAACTGCTCTCATATCTGGCAAACCGATTGGCGTCCCAAACGGCCGTGTGGGGGTGCCTTAAAACCGCCTACCTTCTCTGGTCCAAACAAATCCAGAGCATTCAGGAGCAGAATCTAAAGTTAGAAGGAGGACATACTGTCTGCTGCATTGTTGTCAGAGAAGTCAGCACTTTGCATGTTTCCTTAATGTCTGATCATATAGTAAGGTCACTTTATCATTTCATTCACTACACATCTTACTGATTGGACCTTTAATGAAAGAAAAACCTAAAAAAAGTTGATAAAATGAAAGAAAAACTGAAGAAAGAAGTCTGCAGCGTGTTCTCCAAGACATCTCTGCGTTTGTGTGTCTCCCGACAGAGATGACCTTTGCCTCCTGTCCTGGAGTCCAAGTGACATTTTCAATGCAAATACAAACACGCTTCAACCTGACACACACACACACACACACACACACACACACACACACACACACACACACACATACACACACACGCACACACACACATACACACACGCACGCACGCACACAGTGGTGAGTTTGTCCTTGGGCTGCAGCCGTCGCCGATGGCCGCTCTAAACGACATTAAACGTAGGTGACTGTAAACTTGGGTAATTATGATAAATGTGAGCGATTATGACGAATTATTCCCCTCCATTGTGCTAATAGCGTAATTAGCAACAATAATCAAAGACTTATGATGTTGAAATAAGGGGACGCCGCGGACAATTAGACCGCAAGGAGCTAATAACCGAGAACTTATGGTGTTCTCCTGGAGGGCGGCATTACTGACACTTCCACAAGGACTTTGAAATTTAGTTGTTTTTCTTCTCTGATGAGAGAAAATTGAAATAAATACTCAATTAACTGCACGCATTAAGAGTGTGATGGTGA